TTCCTTCCTTCCTTCCTTGATGTTCCTCCATAGGTATTTGAAAAAGAGGGATTGCACCCACCTTGATTATTGATGTGTCGCGTGCATGCACGTGATTCTCATCCTGGCCTCTGCATGGTAGAGTACCCTTTACAGTTTTTCCCCTTTTCAGTTACACTATCTCTTGGTCATGTATTTGTAATTTTATCTCCCCTTCCCCCCATTCGGGCATGAAACGAAAAACTGTCAGAAATCTCCTAGTTAATTTACGACTTAATGGGTCCAAGGAATTGCCTGTCAACCCGGTTTGCTGACTAGCTCTTTTCAGAGTGAATGGAATATAGTTGGGCTAGAAAGAAAAGTGACTTGCAGTTACGTTCCATTTCTCTTTAAGGCTATCGTCAAGACGATGTGACTACACAGATGCTCATTTATTCCTCTGCCTATTACAAGGGGGTAGACAGCTTGTACAGCTAACATCTTGCATGCGTTGTTTTTAACCCTTTCCCTGGCAGCGTCCAGTTTTCTGGACGAAGCAGAAACCCTTGTTCTTAAGGTTATTGCCATCTACTGGATGAAGCTAGAACTATGAGAACTTAGTGACATGTCCTTGAAGAACTGGAATTGGACGATGAAGTAAGATTTAAAATATTTTTTTTTTGGAAAAGAGAAAAATATGCCCGCATGCTGCAAGAATGAACAGATAAAATTGGGACAAAGGCCAAGTTTTAGGGGCTCCCCATATGTGAACATATCTCAATATTTTCCGTTAATTATTTTTGTCGTTAAAAAATTCAGTTTTTGAATATATGAGTTAATATTGGAAATTTTCTGCTAGCTTCCTCTCTAGCTAGGTATGTTCAATAGAAAAAGCGGTAAAACAAATTTCCTAGTTATTCATTTTTCTTAGTTCAGGCATGAAAGGGGTAAAGTGTACGTAAACTATGTTCAATGCATGCATTTTCTTTATATTGGTGAATTTCAGCATTGAAATTTGACGTCTACGCTCAAAGAGAACAAAAAAGGTAAAAAATGAAAATATTCCCCAAAATAAATGTAATTACTTTTTCTCTCAGCTCTTTGAGATAGGGGAGAAAAATTGTGTCTCTTCTTTTACATCTCCTTTCCAATATATGTTAATTTCATCTTGAAAACTTAGCCCATTTGCTCACAATAAAATAAAAAGTAAACCTATGCGCTTGCACGCAAAGATGGTATAAACAGCCTGCCAGGCTAGGACTGGATCTCAGAGACCAGAGTGGCAGGGAAAAGGTTAATAGGGTTCAACTTTGCTCGCCAGACTTCAATACCCATGCCTGGAGAAGGCCGCGGACAGGTCACATAATTCTCTGTATTCGTTTTACATGGTATAAATGTCAGACACAAGTCTCATGCCAAAGCTATTGGGCAAGACCTCACTAGATTTAACTTTACATTCTCCCCATCTCATGAAGCACTGAAATTAGGTAGATAGTCCATAGGGTAACTTGGGGGAATATTGCCATTGGGATAATATTACCCTTCACAATGAATCCCCTTACAGACTGAATAATTATTTTGGGCGATTTTAAAAAATAGTTCTATGGAAGAGTACATGCAATTGTCAAAATTTAGACCTGTTCATTGATCCAGTTCTCAAAGGAATTCGGGATATATCGATGTTTTGAAAATCATATGCATGCGATTCTTTGACTCACAACCTTCAAACTAATATGAGCCTTAAGCAACTTGAGCGTATGTTTCCTAATAGCGGCAAGGATGCAGGAACTATGTATTCAAAGTTCTTCTATGGTCCCTTAAGAATGATTGTGGAAAGTGCTAGCCCATTCACTTGTGGTTTGCAGACAGTGCTGTCAATTTCGTAATGCAAGCCAATATGTGGGAATATGGCCATCTCGATTTGGGGTAATATGGACACATCCTTCATTTCCTGTTAGCACCGCACTGACATATTGGTAGTGTCAGCTTCCCTTCATGTGGGATCTCAGGCTGCAGAAGATCACCCAATGCACTTCCTCTGGATATATGGATAGACGTACTGCACAGCTGGACGAAATATGCAGTATGTGAGGAGGTCGTGCATGAAGTTATGCTCATGCACAGCCTCCTGGACATCCGCTTCGCCTGACATACTCCAGAAATTTTCATGGCATGAAATTTGAATGCAAGTAAATATCCCAAGTACAAAAAGTAAAAAGGGCTTCCTGCGATTTTTTTGCCACTATTTATCCATACTTGCAAAAGCTACGCAGCGTTTTCCTGCAATGTGAGACCACTTATTTTGCACTCGAAGAGCATGTTCGCTTTAATTCATGATTGATCGCTCTTCTCACACCCGCAGTCTTTAGATACAGATCCCAATCACGTGCAATGCAACTCGAAGCCAAAAGCGTTGCAATCCTGCTTTTTGCAACAAGTCCTTGAGTCGGAAAATACTGTCGACTTCTTTGCTAGCCCTCAATATAGATTATGAATTCTTTTTCAACTGCTGACAATCTTCAAATGCTGATTGCTTCAACTTTTGCATGTACCTTGCTGGGATTTAGTAAAGGATATATGAATCAGTTTTTTAGAAGCATTGTAAACGTCAAATTCGACCTTGATGGGCCCTGATGACCAGATTTCATTTTGTAGGGCCATATTCCCCCAAATTACCGTATACAGTATACTTCATAGGTATAGTTGCTTAAGCCTAATACTACGTATATCAATTCAATGTATGTTTCTGGTCTAGTCCAATCAAGTCGGCGCAATAAAGTTATGTCAATAGTGACAATTGGTTAAAATGTAGGGACCGGCTTGAAATTGACACAACAGCGGAGAATCAATATAAATTAAAAGCTATTTGTAATCAACTGCATTTGCAGCATATGGAGACTATTTATGCGAGGTCGTTTCGGGCTTTAAGGTACCCAATTGTTTTTCACATTTTGGACTCTGCATGATGGCGGGTAATAT